AGCTTTTGTGAGTAAAAAACCTCACTTCTTCAGATGCCTCTGAAGGTTTGATACTGTAGATATTCTTCAGATGCCTCTGAAGGTTTGATACTGTAGATATTCTTCAGAGGCATCTGAAGAAGTGAGGTTTTTTACCCACAAAAGCTTATGCCCAAATAAATGTTAGTCTTTAAGGTGCCACCGGACTCCTTGTTGTTTTTGTGGATACAGACTAACACGGCTACCTCTTGATACTTGACACACGTACCATGTTTACAAACACAGTAACTGTCAAATTCAAGCCTAAATTTCAAACCCACATTGTTTGAACAGGTTCAAAATTAGGAAAAACCTGTTTGCTCAGTTGTAGTAATTATCTTGTCAACATCTCCAACATCTCAAACACTGGGAGTCAGACACCTTTAGGGAACATCCAGCACCTCATCAGACAGACTCTCCAACCAGTATGTGGGTGGATGTGAACTCCCCTCTTATTGAATTATGGTATCTTCTGAAAACAATCATTTTGCTCACTATTCTGAGTATAAGACCAAGATGCACCATCATTGTGACCAAGGTGGTTGGAAAGAGCTTGTGTTTTTCCAATTTGCGAAAACTTTGCACCCTCATCATTAGAAAGTTATGTTATATTTAACAAGAAGAAATTACATCTATAAATATGTTTACATGCTACCATAGATTGAACCAGCCCATTTGTAAAGGTTGATATTTCTATTTTGCAGGCATGTGGTTTTATGGCACACAGATACACAGAGTTTCCACTGACGGAGGTGGAGATACTCCCGATTCATACTGGCGTGACTCGTGAGATCAGAATCAAGTGAGCTTTATTTTCCATGATGGATCATTTTTTTTGTTTTTGTAGTGTAAGGTCCTGATGCAAGGAAGTCTCCCACTGCAATGAGAGATTTGCTTGTGTCAGGGCTACAAGATCAGAATTAACTATAAGACAACTGGACCAAAGGGAACCTCTTTTAGGAGTACTAGATTTAAGGACTGCAGCATAAACCACCCAATGATTTGTGGAGCTATATTTGCACTCAGTAGCCATGATGGTAAATGCCAGATGTAACAAAAGAAGCTAAGCCAGTAGTGGGCAACCTGTGGGCCGCACGCAGCCTGTCAGGGTAATTCGCTGGTGGGCCGCCAGACAGTTTGTTTACATTTGCATGGCCACCCGCAGCTGCCAGTGGCCACAGTTCATCATTCCCGGCCAATGGGAGCTGCAGGAAGTGGCGGCCAGCATATCCCTGCAGCCCGCGCTGCTTCCCGCAGCTCCCATTAACTGGGAACGGCAAACCGCAGCCACTGAGAGCTGTGGGCGGCCATGCAAATGTAAACAAACTGTCCGGCAGCCCACCAGAGGATAACCCTGATGGGCCACGTGCAGCCCGCGGACTGCAGGTTGTCCACCACTGAGCTAAGCAAATATAGCAAAAAGCAATACAGGAAGAATATTATTTATGATGCACACCAGTAAGGCCCATCTTGGTTAAAACTTTTTTGTTCAATATATGCAATATGGGTATAAACTCCTAGAAGTTCCTAAGCACACTTATCCATCTGCTGGCCCAGCTGTGGATGCTAATATGCATAATGGAAGAGAAATTTCCTGTTGAAGCACATTCTTCTTTAAATGGCAGATCTAAGTCCTTTGATTTTTAGCTACTGATTCAATCTTTTAATATAAAAAATTAAACAAAACAAATGAAACCAGAACTTTAGTGAACCAGAACTAATGCTAGAGCAGACCCAGGCAATCAATTCAGAGTGGAAAAGAAAAGGAAACTGTCCCTTTTTTGCTTCTTACACCTTTTCAGTGACGTAACATGACACCATGCATTGGGTAAGGCTACTTGCATTGCTTGAGGAAGGAAAATAAGCTATAACGTTATCTTTACCTCAGCTATGGAGAAGAAAGATTTGGAGCCTGATTTGCATTTACAGTAAGGCTACTTGACACTGGTCTAGCAGTGTAATGCAGCATTAAGTGAATGTAAATGTAATTTAAGACCCCCCCTTTTCCACCACTACAGTGATGAAAGGGTCTTGAGTCTAAATGAGGATCAGGTCCTTTACATTTAAACAGAAACCTGGGTTTATTGTTGCTTCAGCCAACTAGGAAAAGCAGCTCTTGTTTTAAAACCACAGTTAGCCTGGTGTTATCTAACTTTTATTAATACTACCAGAATTGCTGAGTCATGAAACTGAGATCATCGCAATTTTAGCTATGCCGAACAATTAATCGGCCATCATTTGAATCATCCTGTCCTATCCTTTATCCTGAGTTCCTCATTCTGGGTCTTTGTCATACACCATCCCCCTCATTTGGGCTTTAGCAAGCTGAGATGCATAGCTACAGCAGAAGCGTGGTCAATGTCAGGTCATTTGATGTTGCTTCAGTTGGGTGTCCAACATGCATGATGTTGTCTGTGGTGAGCAAACTTCAAAAGTGCTGCAGCTGGAGTTCAGGTCAAAGCAGCACCCAAAGTCTGGATATTTATCCATCTGGGCGGAACCTCCTGTGTTGGCAAAGTGGCCCTGAAAATCTTGAGAGTGGGGATCCATGTAAGATTTCAGGCATGCCTGCTTCTGATCAGGCTGAAAACAGGATCTTCTCAAGAGAATTGGACACTTCCGGCATTAGGTGCATTGCAGAAGAGATATTCATATTACCCACCATGAGAAAAATAACAGACTCGGACCCACATTGATTTGATTATTTCCACTGGTAAAAGAAGGCAAATAGATATAGTTTGTGATTGGGACAAATTTGGATGATGTACTCCTAATCCCAGACCTAAAGGCCAAACAGTGTCACACTTAACCTTTGAAGATTGTTTCTCAGTAGGCCTTTTTATTCTTTTGTTCATCTATATGCATCTTCCAATCATACTACAACAATTGTAACACTTTTCTCTAGGTTTAACCTATAGAGAACCAAATACTAAAGGGGAAAAAAAGTGCCCAAATTTGGCACACATGTGCAATTGGCAAGGTGGCTTGTGCAAAGGAGCAATTGCGCATGTAAATGGGTATTTGGCTATCTGAAAATTAGGGGGTTGTGAGTAGAGCAGGTGTGTGTGTACACACATAGGTGCACGTGTGTGCACACATTTTGCTCAGCTCATCCATTTTTCAGGACTTTGACAATGTTCCCTTCATATACATATATAAAATCAGATTCTGAACTCCAATTTTATTTTCTTGGGCTAATTAAGTAGCAATGAAAGCCACAGATAATCAGTTTTTACTTTTGCCAAAACCTTGTTGTGTCAATGGATAAAATTCTGTGGACTCTAAGGAACTACCGAGGAATTGTTTTGAGTTTCAGCCAATGGAAAGCCTAAGTAACGAATAAAAGCACAAATAAACTGGACAGCTAGAAGTACCCTCTGTGGGATACGTTGTGAAACAAGGCCCAACATCTGTGCACAACACCACATGTCATTTGTGGGCCTCTATTTGTGTATTTACCTAGCACAATTAGACCCTATTCCATACACACATCATCTGGATGTGATGGTTCCTACATTGCAAAGACCCACTTATGGTTGTTAAACCTAGGTGCTTTCCCCCCCCCGCCAGTGTTAGTCAAGTGTAAATGAATGAACAGAAACAGATTAAATGGCAACTCTAATTAAACTGCTTATATGTCACAGCACACTAACATCAACATATTGTTTTAGCAACTGCAAATTACCAAGACTAAAGTTCTTCAAAATAACTGGTAGTTTAAATATCCTCATTATTCCAACTAGGGACGGAAAGATTAAAAGAAGAAAGAAGTAGGGGCAAGAGTGCTTGATTACAAACAGTGCTTTAATGAATAATAATATTTTGCATTTTATACTGCTTTGCAGACCAGGAGCCAGGTCCTCAGCTAGTGCAAATCAACATACCTCAATTGGCTTCAGTGGAGTGATGCCAGTTCACACCAGCTAAGTATCTGGCACATAGATCTCAAAGTGTTTTACAACATTAATTAATTAAATGTCAGAATGCCCTGTGAGGCAGGTAAACGTTATTTCACTCATTTGATCTATCTACATAGATACATATACATGCTCAGCACTATGGGTTCAAAGTGCCTATTTCACAGGTGGGGAAACAGGCAAAGAGAAGTGGAGTGACTTCCCCAAGTTCATATGGCAGGTAAGTAGAACACTGCAGATTAGAACCCAGCAGTCTGGACTCACTTTTTGTCCGATTACTAAACAAATTTTCCTTCCTTTTGTCTCTCTCTCTCTAGCTAATGTCTGCCTCCAAACTTCCACAGCAACAAGGATGTAAAATTCATATGTGGCCTTTCAGGAGCTTAATAGGGAGACCTTCAGTGTGCACAGTTGTTCCGCTTTAAACTTATTTTTGCAAAGCAGGTATTTTTGTAACCAAGAATTAGAGAAAGTGGCCTCAGGCTAAATTGCAGGGAGTCCCAAATGAGTGAACCCTTTGAGGGGAGAATCACTGAAGAAGAAAATGAAGATGACAAGGCTGTTGCTTCTTAATAAACATTATCACATTTTCAACATGCATTATTTATTACTTTTCTTTCACTGATTTATGTTCTAAAACATTTAATCTAATATGTATAACCGTATATACATACATATATTTCCTTCTGCCTTTTTTTTTAAAACAAATCTTGCCTTAAAGTACCTTTTGTGCTTTTGCACTGTTAAATTAAACTCTTAATTTTGGCAATTTTCTTCCCTTTCTTCTGGTAAAACACAGAAATACGATTAAATTAAAAACATTCAATTGACTCAGATAAGGTTGTAAGTTTTTTAAATTAAAATGGAGTATTGCATTCAGACCTGGCACAGTCATATGGGGTTGGTTTGTTTTTTTGTTGTTTTTTTACCCTATCTTTTCCCAGCAGTTTTGCAGGTAGCTTGACTTTGTGGGAGGGCATAATGTTACATTAGTAACTTCCTTTACAATATGCAAAAATAGGTTCTGTACGAATTGCAGCCCCAAAACACTTGTGGGAATAGTAATTCCTCAGACGACTCCTTGGTGACCCCTCTAAGCTGACTCAAACAATGGCACACACAGCCGGTAGAAGGAGCTCCATCCAGCCCACATTGGCTGGAACAGACGTTAGTCTTGGAAACGGGAAGATCCTCAGAACCTCAGAATCCTCTCTCACACCAACAAGAAAAAGAACAGAAGGAACTGAGAAGTTATAGTCATAAGGTGGTCTGACAAGGATGGTGAAGCTTATGTATCATATGTAAATGTTGGAAAGCATTGTGCATATAAACAAACTGGCAGCCTTCAGCAAGGCAACACTTATTTTCCTTGTTACTCTGTCTCCATGCCATCACAGTCTATTTCATGAATTAAGCTTTAGTACCAAAGCTCTGTATTTGTGGGTACAAGGCATTTTGGATAAAATTGCTCATAGTTATTTTAACAGTGCATGCAGGTGGTCCAGCAGGTCACATGTTCCAGCCTAGGGCCCACCTCTGCCATATTTTACTTTCTGGGTCAGATACACGGTTTTCATTCTGAGCTCTGCTGCTGTCCAGTAAATATACAACTTTGTTACTAACCATGCCTGCTCCAGAATGATACCTTTGTGGACACTAAAAACAATTTAATGGCATGTCACAATAGCAATTCACTCTGCTAATAGCCTGGCTCAATAATACTATATTGCATAAGCCTCCTTCAGTCTTCTGACAAATAATTCACCTTTATGCACTCTGCAGCAAGCTCCATTTCACTAACAAATATATTTTTCCCCTACACCTACAAATAAATATCCAGCATCTTTTTACTGTAACATCAGCTGTTCCTTTGGATGAGGTCAGTGGTGCTATATTTCTACTGCATATTACCTTTCTCCATCATAGCCTTAGAGACAATCAGTTTTTAATTGGCACATCAAATCATAGAGAGGGCAGAGGGAATAAAATCTCAGGCAAAAGGATGTATATTTTGATGTGCCTCGCAAGCCACAGCAGTGAAAAGTTTAAATACTTTGTATGCACAGGCGGCATTAACCAAATGTTTATGGGCTTTGCTTTTGCAAGCATAAGTATTTGGATAAACCCAAATCTCAAAATGTCTTTTGCTCAAGATGCAGTGAAAACTCACACAAGCAGGCATTCTCCTGCCATTTTGATTTCTCTATTTCTTTTTTGAGGAGACAGCAGACTGAAGAAGAGCTCAGCTGAGTCTGTTGCATGTTACTGCAAAATATTTAAAGCCCCATTCCACAAAATAGTTTGGATGAACCCTTTTCTTGATTTTGGGAACACTGTGCAGGTTGGCACTGACATTTTCTTTGAAAAACTAAGCTGGTCCCTTAAATGAGACAGGTTGGCTTGTCAAGTTTGGGAAGAGGATCTGTATCTTTTCACCTCTTGGTGATTGATTCAAATCCAGCCAACATCAGTAGTGATCTACAGCTTTTACCTTGTATGACTGATTGGTTGCTTCATGTGAAGTGAGTTTGGTAGTCTCAAACTAGTTCTTAGTCTCCATTAAGAGAAATTCTCATTGGAAGCTGTATTCTTGTCAGTAACAGGAGAAAGGATTCAATGAATCTGGAGAGTAAACACCTTGCTTATGCTGGTCCCTGCAGAACAGGCTTAAGCCACATTGGTGGGGTACTGTGGTGAATGCTTGTATTGTATTGTCATTACCTGTGCTGTACATGTTCTGTAGATTAAAAAAAAATCTATTTCTAATCCTTTCACCAATACTGAATTCACTTAAAAAAGACAGGGGAAATAAAGAAATCTGAGTTTACAGGTAGAAATAGACTGTCTCCTGTATTTTTCCCATTGATATGTTACCTGTTTATCCTCAGTGTATAGCCCTACATTCCTAGAAATGAGGCTCGAGTGATATATTTGGAAATAGGATCAGCTATAGACACCTATTTTATTATTTATTTTAAATGTAATTATCCCTGTGTATAACCTTTAAAAAAATAAAATAAAAAAGAACTGTATCCTGTATCTTTAAGAACTACTCAAAAAGACAGTAAAATGTTATGGCAAAAAAAAAAAGCCATTTTTGTAGCAGAAACTATTTGTATCGAATATCATGAGGAAAATAAGTGCATCATGACAATTTTGAACATCTTTTATGATTTGATTGTCAGTAACGAGGCCCACAGGAGAGTGATAAATCTGCAGCACAAAAAATATCTATTTCACTTAGATAGCAAATTATGCAACTCAGTGCTTGATAGCACTTGGCAAAATACAAATGTAGTTGAATGGAATTGAAATTGTTGCTCTTTGCCTAAGACACAGGTAATATCACCAGGGGTCCTGTCTTCAGATATTTATAAGAGCTAAGAGTTTAAGTAATAGTAGCAGTAATACAAAATTACCTTTAAACATTGAAAACATTTTTACTTTGTTACATGGTGCAATTTACACTTTTTCTCTAATGGCTTATATACCGAAAATGATATACTAATGCAATTTTTCAAGTTTAGTTACCTTTATTGTGTTCTAAAATTATATGCTCTCTCCTCTTCCCTGTTTGTCAGTTTTCTGATTCCATTTAATTCCATGTTCTTAGAGTTCCATAATTTATCTTCGTGTCACAGAAGTTTCATAAACTTTTTTTAAATAATACAAAATACTTGCAATAGGCTCTGACAAACAATGCTTCCAGTTCAGCTTTTTGAAATCTTTCAATTATGTTTTGAACGATTACCATTCACTCTGTTGTTACCATGAAATTTTTCATATAGTGACATCAAGCTAGGGAAGGAAAAAATGATCGTAAAAGATATTCACTCAAAAACATTTATATTAACCTGTCTCCTCACTTATAGATTTATATTCGAGCTTATACTACATGCATGGATAGAAAAGTAAATCTAAGAAAGTCCTGTTAACTATATCTTACTGCTGGGTGAGAAATAGCTTTCTAATTCCAAAGAATTTTTGAGATCTTGAACATTTTTCGTGTTCTGAATTGGGACAAACATTTGAAATATTAATTTTTTTTATGAACTGAATATCAGACAAAAATCAGATTGGATCCATCAAAATGTTTCATTTTGATAATTTTGAAACATTTTGTTTTAATTTTGGCCTTTTTTTTTCTTTCATTTTTTCACTTTAAATTAACATTTCAAATTTTGAAACAAAAAGTTGCTTCAAACCAAAATGGAATAATAATGGAACAATGAAAATATCACTTGGATTACATACACCTTTTGTAAAAGGACCTTAACTGAAAGGCATAACAATCTGGACTGCTCCACTTTAAACCTTTAGAAAAAAAATCTACTTAAAGTATCATTCAAAATCCAACTTAAAACTTTCTCTCTCTCACACACAAAGGAAATTCAAAGTTAAGCCTGAAAAACTGGCCTGAAACCATATTCTTAAATCAACCCATCTCTCCTTAGCTTTGCAGGGAATCTTACACACTGTACTAATGCCAGATGTGCAAAAATATATAGGAATAATGGGGTGAGTTGAGGACAATGTCACACCATATTAAATTATTCTTAATTCAGAATTTCCTCTCTGCTATGGTCAGGGTAGTCCAGATCCTTGCTAATGTTTGTTGTTGTCTAATATTTGCCTTTAAAATCATTGATGGAGTGGTCCTCAAATTCTGTGCATAGCACATAATCTCTGGAGATTAAAAAAAAAGAGTTTGTGAGAGTGGAAGATGTACACCAGGTACAAATGTGTAAACAGGATGTACTCTGATGAAGGTAGTGGGGGAGGTGGGATGTCTGAATAACAGAGCCAGGCCTATGCTGCACAATTTGGGTCCAGATCTGAACACAGACTTTGAACTTCCCAGGTGTTTGTTTTGCTCAACCGCTCAGGGGTGTTCAGCTTTCAGGGTTTGACTATACTGAATACCTATAGTTTAGTGGAAAAATACCGATAGTTTGTGAGCCACTTGCTGTCGATAGCATTTTAATTACACTTGTGCAAACCTCAGCAGTTTCAGTTCTCAGTTTCCATTCACATGGTTTGGCACCTGTTTATGTCTCCTATTTGCAAAGTTTCCACAAGAAATGGGCCTGATACACAATGTTCAGCTCAGAACTCAGATCTATAAACATGCTAAAGTTCAGAGTTGTTTGGACTTGGGGGAATGGCCCATTACAGAGCTAGGGACAAGCTGACAACTTCAAATCAGGAGCTAAACTTCTCCAAAACACAAGGAGGTTCTGGAGCTCATGTTCCAGTTCAACCCATCTTTGGTTTTCACATGAAGCCATAAATCATCTCTGACAAGGGTCACTCCAAACTTAGCCCAGGTTTAAAGAAATGCTACAACAGTTTCA